TGTAATACAGTGGAACTCAGCCTTCTGCAGTAACTCTTAGGCTCTGGTCTTTGACTAGCAAGTATTGCAAAATATGATCTTAAACTAGTCAATTACTTTTTAAAAAAACAATGCCTTCGTCAGTCACAGAACTTTTATGTTTATTTTCTGCAAGTGTTACAGCAAACGAGAAAATTTTTCGCAAACACTGCAAAGTATTTCATGGATTTCCAAGTTTGGAATTACTCTGGAAAGAACATTTGCAAAGAGGTTTGGAGGCTAAATTAATTTTCATAAAAGGGGGGAGTGAGAGGAGGGAAGGGATTCCCCAGTTCTGATTTAGGACACAGATTATTGTTGCAGGCAGGTATTTTCATGGACTGAGAACTGTTTACAGCCTAAGATATAAGCAGTAGCCAATGTAATGAGCTATAGTACATACTGTAATAGTCTCTTCTGTTTGAGGTTGGGTACATCCCTAATCCAAACTTGTGTGATAATTAATACTGATAACTGGGGTGCCTCATGCAAAGTACTATTCAGCCTTCTTGAGTGTATTTACTATGACGTTTTTCATTTAAACTCTGGTACCCCATTGCACTGCATATCATCAGAGACACTCCTGAAAGCACTGACGGTCAAAATCCCGCTGGTATTTGAGCCATATAGCCTTCCTGTAACCACATATACACTGATATACACTGACCTAGCTCCGTTGTCTGAAATTAACATCAATTGAACCAACAATTTATGCAAGCTGAGAATCTGTCCCCATGTGTTTGTTTATGTGAAGTGTGTGACTAAGCCATGATCCAAGATGAAGTATTTTGCTTCCCATTAGGGCTAGCAACACTGAACCTTCCTGAGGATGTTTAATGCGGGTGAACAGCCAGGTCTGCAAGTAACTTTTGTGACAGACACATGGAACACACCCTCAAGAACAACTCCCTGTGAAAATACAAGTTCACCTTTTCAGAGAAAAGCTCATTAAAAACTAGCAGATCTCAGTGGTTTTATTGCAAACCAATCAACCTGAACCTGTAAAGAAGTCTGACCTCACCCAGATTCATGGGTCTTCTATTTTTGACTTTACCTGCTAGTGATAGGAATTGATTTCAAAGGGTCTAAAATTAGCTCTGTACATCAAAGGATTGTTATAACATGTCTCTGGAATGTTGCAGTTTTACAGGTTTTGCTGTTCTGTGTGTGTTCTTTAATTGGAAAAGTGTAACCCTCAAACCCAGGAATTGGTGAACTCTCCTGCTGAAGGATCTCTTGAAAATTGACTTCCTCATAAGTGAGGTTGTTTTCATGGGATGCAGGTGGAAACTGGAGTGTAGTTCTCATAAAGTTAACAAGGTCACTTTGCTGTGCTCAGGCCTGATGTAATTTAAGTCACCCATTGGCAATTAAGGTAGGTAACATTCTCTCCTGTTCCCAATCAGCCCTTTTAAATCAGTCAGTGATCTTTTGCAGCGTTAACACCCAGAAAAATAAGAGATGTAAAATGGTCAGAAATAATTCAGAAGAGATTACAAATAAAACATGATTATGTTGTAGAATGAAAATTAATTTGTTAAAGTACGGGGACAAATAGTCACTGCATCCAGAGAAAAGAAATCTGATTTCGCATACAAACTATTCATACTAGAAGATATAATCATATATACATAGCATTTCTGAGACCTGCAGTGCTAATTAATGATTAGTAATTGTGTATAATATATAAAGGTAGCCAGTATCGTGCTAATTTCTAAGGAGTCTACAAGGAAGGGACCACTGTGTCTTGTTTTTATCTTTAACACCTTTTAGTTTCTTTCCCTTCACACTTCCACCCAGGCCTGCTTTTAGGTTGGAAGAAACTGTGAAGTGGTAAAAAAAGAGTTTGTACTCATAAAGCTTTGATGACTCGGCCATCTGGCTGGGAACTCTCATAAAGGAAGCCCTGCAGAGGTTAGGAAGGTCAGAGACTATACAGGCCAGGGGCCAGAGAAGGTCCAATCATTTCTCTGACTGGAACCCAACTTCTATCTGATCAAATGCAAGCTGCAATCATTAATCTCAAAGGAACAGTATCTGAATGGACTCTTGATAAACATTACATCTTTCTCTCGCTTGCTTTCATAAATCTATGACACCATAAAGAAAATCTCTCTGCCTGTATCCCTCTGTAATAGCTTCCATCCTTTTCCAGTGCTCAGCTCATTAACAAGTGACCCGAAGGCAGGGGGGAGGAGGCGGGGGGGGACAACAAACTTTTGTATAATGGATCCTTGCTGTTTAGAGACTATAAAAGTAAACAGACCTGATTCACTAAAAAAAAGAAAAGTGCAAAAATGTTTTGGCAAGCACATAAGGTTATCTGCTTCTAAAAGTGAGTTGAGGAACGAGATGATGATGTTCAGGAGATTTATATTCATTCTTTTTTTTTCCTTCTCAAAATGCTATCTAGATAGACACTTATTTAAAGGACACGTGCATGACAGATCTGTCCCCTATGTCCTTACATGTGCATATTTAAATCCTCTAAATACAAAGTTATATTTTTCAGTGGTGCTGATTACTTTGGCAGTAGATAAGTGTCCAGCATCAGGTTTATGAATTGCAAGCTTCATTAGTCTTAGAATGGTAACAAAGGAAGATGCGTCCTAAAAAGTGGTCATCCTTCATCTGAGAGGGCAGTGCCTGACACATTAGGAATCTATATGCTCAATTAACCACTGGCAGGCTCATTTTTTCTGTTTCTCTCATCCACAGCCTCTTTCTATCCTCCCCCTCCACCCCGGCTGCTCCACCCTTCTTTCTGACTAAAACCTTCATTGATAGCCCTGACTTTATGCAAACACTCAATTAAAAATGACTTGAGGGATTACTTTTGGCTGCTGCTAGTTCACACTTTACCACTTTCTGGTGAAGAGTGAAACACTCTTCTTATTATGTTTTGCTTTTGATTGCCAAAAATGAAAACATTCAACTCTCTTTCCTTTTAAAAGCTAGTTCACAAATTCAAAATATAAGCCTAAAATTAACATATTTGGTGATTAAACAGTAATTTGTATTCATAGCCCTTGAAATTAAAGATAGTTATTTAGGAAACAAAGCCATAAACTTGTCTTCCGAGTGGAAAAATATAAAAAGGATATTTTTATTGCTTTGTGAGCAATTTGCATGCTATGGAGTAACTTTTGGCTCACTCTGATTTGTTTCTATTATTTAAGAAAAATCACACTTAATTATTCAGGCACCTTTTCAGAAACAGTGACAATTTTTTGCTGGGATGAATTAAAAAAAAAGGTTGAGAGTTAACAGGTAGGAAACAGAGCCAACCAGAATATGGCACTAATGTCCTAAATGGTTAATCCCCCGTAACTATTAGCGTACACATGATTAACTGTATAGTAGACCTGATTAAGTGTGTCTGTACATTATGCTAATCTCTGCATTCTGATTGGCTGACTTGATTAATGGTACACTACACTCTGTTTACTGATGGAAGGACAGTCTGCCAGGTCTCATATCCTCACTAGAAAAAAAAGGGAAAACAGAACAGTTTACAGAAATTTATGAGGAGGAGGATGAAGAAAAAAGAATGAGAGACAGAGATTATATTTTTCATGGCCAAAAAAGAATTCCAAGTTGTGAAGCTCAAAAGAACAAGCCTGCAGATCTGTTCTCCCTTTCTAGAGTCAAGCTGCTAATCTGAAGTTATTTTATGCCTATCTAATGTATTTATTTATTTCAAGGTTTTCCACATAGTCTGTGTGTTCTTGTACATCACCAACACGTGACACAAGGAGACACTTGCCACAGGAAAAAATATTTATTTTTTTCAGAGAGACTAAGAAATCCCTGTACTGATAGCTGTTAAAAAGCTGGCTAATGGAATACATAGCCCTTATTCTTCTTGCTGCTTTTCCTTCTCTTTTCATGTATATGAAATATGTCTAGGTTCATAATTATACTACTTTGCAATCATATCTTTTTAAATTGTCAATGGACATTTACAAATTTAAGCTGGCAGACGGAGTCTAATCCAAATCTAATGAAACTCAATGGATCAGTCTGTTGAATTCAGCCATTTTACATACCAAGGTGCTATGCATTTTAAAATATAATCTACTGATGCCCTGCATTCCTATCTTATGATAAGACCACATTATATATAATTGGCAATATATTTTGGTCTGTTATTGGGTTCTTGATACTAATTATTGCTACACTGGGCTAACATTTGGGCACAGGAATGAAAAAGAATTGCTTTGCTGTCATCCTTCCTTCCACAACACGCTCTGATCCACAGGTGCTAGAGGAGTTGCATGGCTTCTGGGCAAGTTAGATAGCATGCATTTAACATTTGTTCAACAATCTGAAAGCATTAAGTATAGAGAAAGTGTCTTAAATTATTATTATGAATCATGTCTTCTAGTCCAGGTGAATGACCCTTTTCTAGCTGTACATGTTTATCCTGTGCAGCCTAACGAGATTAAATCTCTAATGTTCAAGGCACTGAATTGTTTTTTCTGTGAATTGTTTGAATGAGCTATTTTCATGAGGTCAATCTTAGTGGGTCAAATTCATCCAGGATCTGCATCAGCTTCTATTGATATAGACAAGGGCACAGCAGGAAAAGTCCACCTTATAGTGATGAAAGGTGACCACAACATTCTCTACTGGATAGCATATAGCTGGTGGTATCAACAGTAGGAACTTTTGACAGAACAATATATAGTTAGGGGTATAGACAGATGTGCTATGGAGACAGAAGGCAAAGATTCAAGCTGTCTTATTCTCATGGAAAACCTAGTGGAGGTTGATTATCCAGATCTCTGCCTGCCCTTCCTCAGGTGAAGCCTTTGTGATTAATGTTCAAGGCTGGTGGGCACAGACGCTCTTTACACTTGGTAGTATTAATGTGACGAATTCTAATCTAACACCTCTGTCCTTTATGTCCTCTGTCCTATCACTGTGTCAGTATATATCAATGATTCCATTCAGCCTAATAGCTTGGTTGTTAGGGCACTCTCCTGGGAAGATTTAAATGTGAACCCCTATCAGGCTGAGGAGAGCATCAAACCCAGGTTTCCTCTTCCTAGTAAGGAGCTGTGGTCTGAGATACTCACGCCGAGCTAATTTTGGGCATGGGCAAGAGCAGAAATGTAGGTGCCTGGGGAATTTTGAAATCAAGCCAGACAGCACCTAGTAAGGTGAGTGAGGTGGCTACAACATTAGAAAGCAGCCAAGTTGGAACGGGTTGCATTACAGTTTTAAGTTGATGCACCTCAATTCATGCTCAGTTCAAGTCTTTGTATTGGAGCTAGTGTCCATTTCTTAGTGGAGTCATTGGAAATTGGATGGGCCTTTAAAACTTTCCTATCACGAACATATATATCTATTTTCTCTTTAATTTTTTTCTGTCCCCTTACAGTAACAAGGATTCAATATGTTGACCATATTTCTCTATGACAGTACACTTCCTATACAAGGTTGCTCAGTGCCAGTTCATGGTTAACCCTGAACACCTAGCTTTGTGCAAGATAAACTAATTTCCATGTCAGTATCACACAGAGGACTACAGTGGAATTCATGGTACAAATTAGCCACTTAAGAAAATGCCGGTAGTGATTGGTAGGACATCTCTTTCATTTGGGAAAATACTATTTGTAGGCTAAAATCTAATGAGATACACATTCTCTTAATATTTGGGTTATCTGCCAAAATGTTTAACTGTTTTTCATTCTGTCACTTCTCAGATAAGTACTCAAAGTGGTATTTTGCAGTATGAAGTTTCAAAGATTGAGTTGATTTATGTCAAAGAAAATAAGTAGATTACTTCCTTAATGTGCTTTTGACATGTCTCTGCTTCAGCTTATAGAAGTTAACCTATAATTTCCTTTGGGATATGTGGCACAGAACAGGTGTAGCTTGATTTTGAACATGCTATTCTGTTGATTAAAAGGTACAGGAAGTACATGAAATCTTTCCACATAGATGTGGACTTACATTTATTACAATTAGCTACAAAATGGTTAACAGTTTCAAAAAATGACCTGTAATTTTTGTGCATACTCATATGTAATTACTGCTTTTGTATGAAGATATGAAGTAGCTGCATTTGGTACAAGGAAACCATTCCCAGCAAGTAATTTGGAAGACACATTCTCTCTCTTTTTCTGCTCATAACTTAGTTGCACGTAATTATGATCTTGGAGAATGTATTCCTTTGTTCATATTTAGCTAATGAATAGCTCTTCAAAGTTTTTATTATAGGCATTAATCCTAGTATTCAAAGTTTTAGCTGCATTCTTTAATTGCAATTGGTTGTGTCAGTAACATGACATTGGTTCTATTTCCTGGTTGAATAAGCATGTATTTCCAAAACAAGTATTTCCAGCACCTAAGGGTGGAGACAAACAAACAAATTATAGTTAGACTTGCTGTGGAGCAGATAATACATGGTAACTCTCTGTGCCTTGTTTTTGTCATAGGAAAAGTGGAATCTCTCTCTCTCCTGTATGGTGTCAGCTATCAACTCCCAAATCTATGATCCACTGTCTGGTGGTATTGCTCGATGTATAGATTCCATCTGCCCCAGTTTAGCATTTGTAAAGATTGCAGTTTTCAATTAAGTGCTATGCTGTTTGTTGTACACCACATTCACACAGGGGGCTGTCCAAGATGTTCATCTGGTGAAGTGTTGTTTTGAAGTGTCCATATCCAGATCTCAGCCTCTCCAGCTTGACCTCTGCTTCTCTGTCAAGGTCATGCCCAATGGGGGACTTGTTTGGTGTTGGTATCAAATGCTGTAGAAATAGGTCTGATCCCTCCCAGCAGTCAGCCCACTCTGTAGCTGCCCGTAGGTTTGGTTCAGCATCCCCAATATCTTCCAGGAGCTCGTGGGCTTCATGTATAAACAGTTTACAAATTTTAAGCCCTAGAGCCTCCAACCATTCAGGTCTTCAGTTAACAGTTGATGGAGCCAGGTGATTTTCATCACCTCTTGCCTCTATTGATGCTGGTAATGATGTTAGGGTCTGTCTTCTTATATCACTTGATCCAATGCCTGAGAGTACAGGAAGTACATCTGTGTGTATACATTGTACAGCCAGTTATGAGTCTTAGTGCACTGTTAAGTAAAGTGTCAAGCTTTTTAGTGTGACAACTTCTGGACCATACAGGAGCACAGTATTCTTCTGGGGCATTTACCACTGCAATCGTGGTGGTACTGAGCACTTTGAAGTTGGTAGCCCATGTTATGCTGGCTAAACATCTTAAGATAGCTACCCACACAGAGACTTTACAGCTGACTTTCTGAATGTGATATTTATGGGTGAGGCAATGGTCTAATGCGACTCCTAGGTAGGCTGGGGCATGCTCATGGGGAAGGATGTGGTTGCCCACTCTGATATGCAGCAAGCTCTTGGCTTGATGATTGTTCAGGAAGAAGAGTGATGATACTGATTTATTGATGCTCAACTTTAAGTGCCACTTGTGGAGATAGCAATGAATTCCATGTCGGTACACAGTATCTTTTCCAGTTCTGTCATGTGAATTTCTTGGGATACTATGGTGATATCATCAATGTACATGTATTGCTTAGATGTTGTATGTGGGAACTCTGAGATATACACATAGAAAAGTATTAGTGCTAGCACTGATTCTTGCAGGACTCATGATGAAGTGCATAGCTTGTGGTCAGGTATAATAGAGTTCAGTTTATATTTGAGGCTTTGCTGCCATATAATATCATAGGTGGCTGTAGGGTCAATAAAGACCACACCTGTTTTCTGCTTCATTTGAAACTCATTTTCTATCTCAGATGTAAGTAATGTAACTGGTTAGTGATACATGGCTTTTTTAAAAAGTCAGCTTGTTCTTTGGGGAGCTGAGGATCAGCGATGTTCTCCATTCTATTTAGGGTTATGCACATGAATGACATGTGCCCTCAGTGGCTGGGGGGGCATGGTGGCAGTGGAAGTGCAGCAGTGGTGGCGGTGGTGGCAGTGGGAGCACAGTGATGGTAAGCAGGAGCTCCAGCAGGTGCCACTGGTGCTGTCAGTGGCAGGGGTGGAGTGGCAAGTGCTGACCAGGGGTCGGTGACCACCCACAACTGCCACTGGCAGTGTTGGTGGTGGACACCCCCTTTTGTAGGAGGCGCACCGCCATGCTCGGGGGGTGCATGTGCACCTGTGTGCACCCCCTACGTATCGCCCCTGGTTATGCATTCCATAAGTCTGTATGTAATGCAGAGTAGTGAGATGGGATAGTAGCTTTCTGGATCCTCTGGTGGTTTATTGGGTTTCAAAAATAGTGAAAACTAAACTGTGGTAACTTTACCCTGTTTCACTGAGGGTTAAGCTTACTTGGTTAGTTTTTACTTAGTTCAAGTTAGGAGCTAGCATACAGACAATTAATAAGTGCTAATGCTTCCTGGTAAGTCTCTGCTCCCTTTATCTTACTGCAATATAATTGTTCATACCCTAACTGCATGAATTTAAGTAAAATGAATGTAACTGAAATTGATTTTTATGATTATATTTGCAGGTAAATCTCAAGCATTTAAATATGCTGTTTATCAAAATATATATGCATTTGTATTTAAATAGGAATAGTGTGCAGATCATCAAAATCATGTTAATCAAAATATGAAAGCAATCATAACCCTCTCCCCCCCCAAACATAAGAAAAGCCCATGGGTTTGGACCACAGGTCTATTTAGCCCAATATTGTGGGGCTGTTCCTTGCCTGCCAACATTGAAGAGTATTTATACATGTGCTCTGGAGGTGGGGTGCTTTAATTAAAGCTTGTATCAGTGTCGCCATGCTGAAAAATGGTGGCAGGGACGCTTTAACTAAAGCTTGTTGAATAAGCTTTAGTTAAAGCGCCCCCGCCACCATTTTTCACTGCAGGAGCCTTGGTACATGTGACACTAGAGTCTGCTGGAGTGCAGTAATTATCATGCTCCAGCAGACTTGATTAATTGAGTCTGCTCTGACACGCCGTAATGATGCTGTTCATTTCTTAGCCTGCCATAAAAGCATCATGGGTGCTAAGAGAATGAGTATTTGTGCAGGTCCCATTCAAACTGATCTGTCTCCTGCCCCTCTTTTCCTACAGCTTCCAGACAAAGAAAATAACATAAATGGATAAGCCAAAGAGCCTTCCCAATCCTCAAAAGGTTTTTACTCTCTTCAAGCTCTAAAATCTCTCAGCATTATTATCCAATTGATCTCCCAGTTACTTTTTCCTTGCTCAGAGAGAAGACCTGGGGAAAGATCTCATCCTGCAACCCAACCTCTTGCAAACCAAGGGAAATGGAAAAAAAATAAAACCAAGGGACACCTCACTAATAATTCCTTGATGATATGGACCATTAGCTTCAGGAGACCAAGCTGTGACAATATTATAGGAGAGAAACGAGGAAACAAAATTTCAGGATTTGGATGAACTGAACAAACAAGGGCCATAGGCAAAATTAATTCATTCTATAAAATGAATGCACATTGCAGATTTTTTTTCCTCCTTCATTTTTCTGGGTCCGTTAGATATAGAATGAGTCAGATTCACACAATTTGTTTTTGGAAGCAAGGGAAAAAATGGCTTAAACTAGAGATGATGGGGATTAGTACAGACTGAGGAAAAGCTGAAGGACATCCTCATCAGATGGACTGATTCAGAAAGGTCATGAACTACCTGGTCATTTTTCAGCAGGGGTTGGTTAGCCTAGTACATTGACATTGTGATGGCTGCATCTTCACTACAGAAAAAGATTACTGAACTTCAAAATAAAGGACTAGGCTGTGACATCCTACTCCTATTCAGTAGTACTTTACTTCATCTCAATAAGTTTGAGAACAGCAGTAGCTGAAAAAGTGATGATTTTTCAAATGCCCAGAACTCAAGAAGTAGCTGAACAGATTTATAAAATAAATAAATATAATAAACTAAAAATCACTTGGAGGCTGGAACCAGGTCTGGGAGGTTTCAGCCAAATAGAAGCATTTATGTGAAAACAGCTAACCAAGTTCTGCTATCAGTTACATTGGCATAAATCCAGAATAACTCTGTTGCAGCCAATGAAGTTACTCTGGATTTGTACCAAATGTAACTGAGAATAAAATTTGTCCAAAATAGTAAGGAGAGCCTGAATGTAACTTTTGTCATAGCTTTCTTCAGCAAAATCTGTAATCACCTACAATGATGTATTTGTTCTGAAAGTGCAAGGAATCCATCGTTCATTTTGCAACTTACTCATCTAACCTACTGACATCAAATCCCCAATTTCAGCAATACAGTAGTCTCACTCATCATCTCCCATGTGTACTATAGAAGGAGAACAGCTGCTCATCTCCTTTCATCTGGGATTCTGCTTTTGTTTGGCCTTGACTACCACAAATCACATCATTACAATGGCCATTCTAGTTGTACCAAAGGCTTACAGAAAAAACAGATCCACTTCAAGACTTCCATTCAAAACAGTAGAAAAGGAAATAGAGACTAGAATTATTCTTGTTGCTAGCCCAGACTCTAGACTAGTCTTTAATTCAGTTTTGCTTCTACCTGTCAAGGTGCCATGTTGAAACCAAAACCTGTAACTTTGCAACATGGAGGGCAAAGGCAGGTTGATGAGGCAGCATCTATTGAAATAGTCTCTGTACTAATTGGCAAGAAAAGAGTGCTGATAAGCATGGGTTGACAAAATGGCTCATCTGACCCTTCTACTTAATCCAAATGAGTAATTAATGAATGTGTTATGATTAGCACTGCAGCAAACTCTTCACTAGATAAATACTTTAAGATGCACAGGCTTCAGCTCACCAGCTGATTACCATTGGGCCAGTAGATTCACTTTTCATTGCCAGGCTATATATACCCATTAGATGGAAAGAGGAAGTAAGGCTGAAAAATCCTGCCAAAATCTCACCAGAGGGAAACAATGAGAGAGAATATTCTTTAACCATTAGTGTTTTTTGTGAGATAAAATATTAAGAACAAAATAAGTGTCCAGTCTTGGTTTACATCTAACGTGTGTTTCTGTAAAAGCGAGGTAAAGAGACAGAAAGAAAGACATAGGGTTATCTTGTACGAGAAACAGCATCAGAATGTGTACTGAGCATCAGAACCATTAAAATGTGCATTTAAAAAGGTTTTTCTTCTTTCTGTAGGAAGTAGAAAAGGGAAAACATTAGGTTGCATCTAGGTGTTTTCTACCTGAATATATCAAATGGACTGAGAATAGAAAAGTGTTGGTGATTAGGGCAATGAAACAGTAAATTAATGGGCACCAACAATTCTAGCTCTTGTGAAACTTCTCAACAGTTTACAGATTGATTGGTTCTGAGCCCTGTTCTATATGATTTAGTTACTTAATTAGGTTTTCCCTTCGATACTACCCTAGATTTGTGAAAATAGTGAGTTTAGAAGTTTTAAAAAGGCTATTTTGCAAGGGTTTGTGAGCACACACATGTAAGATTGGTTCAGGGGCCTAGTAGTGGGATATAAGGAACCAGGACATTTATTTCTACCTGAACTCCAGGCCAGGCTGTTGGAGATAAACCTGTTTAACAGATATTCAGTGACCCATGCAAAAAAAATTGACTAACTTCATCCACTTCCAAGTAAACACTAACAAGCATTGGTGCTCACTGGTTAACAGGGAGATCAAGAAAGGAAAAGGCATGGAAACTGAATCCATATCACCCACACAGGCAGCTCCTCTGAAGCAGGGGAGAGCTCCCGGAGGGAAGAATTGTAGCAGGGAAGCTTGCATTGCAGCTGCCTGACTTGTACCTGCTATTTAAATAAATGGAAAGCTGCTCCCTCTGCCCTTATCAGTCTGGTACCTTTTGCCAGCCCTGAATTCATGCAAAATTTAAAATAAAATAAAAAGTGGAAGCCTTCTTGCCAGGCAGGTTCCAAGCTTCCTTGGGTGCCTAACTCTGATTCTGATGCTAATTACAGTGATTATAAAGAAGGGAGACATATGACTGCTACCTGTCTCTGCTGCTGCCCTTAAAACAAATGTAAAGGACAATTAACAACAGATTAGCTACTTGTCTTGGTTTGCCATGTGAGGATGATCACTGACCTTCTCATTTCATCCTCATTAGTGTCTCAGGTCAACAGAACCATTGCTCTTTAATCATCACCCATCATCCCTTGCTTCCACACATGGAAACAAATGATGTGTTGCCAGGAAGGTCAGAGGTCAAATATGAGTTTTGTTGTTGCTGGAGTGCAAGCTAGAGGCACTGGGGTCAACTTTGGGGCAAATCTTTGTGGCAGTCTGTTTGAGTAGAGAAACTATTTTGAATGCATGACACCTACTGTGTTTTTGTTTTCTTCTTGCAGCTGGAATTTACTCAAAGATTGCATTTATTTATTTATTTGTCATTGGTGTACAAATACACAGAGAGAGGCAATTTGGTGATTTTTTTTTCCCTTCTGAGAACAAAAGGTTAAGCTGCAGAGGATGGGATACATGTATATAGTGTATGGTTTGGAGTCTTCCCCTACCCCCCACTTTTCAAAGCTGTGTGCGCTGTTCATAAAGTTATGAATGCTGGAAGCTTTTCAGGCTGCATCTCTTCACGCTGCTGCTGCTCCAGTGCTACTTTTCAATTTGCCATGGATAGCCTCTGAAGACTGACAAGGCTGAAGGCACCCAGTGCCAGTGTAAATGAGCCCCATTCATTTCTTGCCATTGGCATATGGCATGTCATTGTCCTCAGCCACCGAGGCAGAAGTGATGCAATTTGTTGGCATGTCCTGTCACAGCACAAACTATCTATCCCACTGAGCCCCCAGAAAACAACAGAAGCCAGAAAAGGGCAGCCAAAAACTTCACAGCTTTATCACAAGAACACACATGCACACACCACCCCAGAAAAAAAATCCTGACCTATTTCTGGACCTATGAGAAGGGAGCTATATTTTTTCTTCTCCTCCAAGGTCTCAAAAGTTTCTGCCTAAGCCAAATATGCAGCCTAATTATTTCAGTTTTCCCAAATACAGGCATTATGATTCCTACTTCCCTATTTCTGCTTATTAAAAAAAAAAGCCTAAAACCACCCCTCACAGCAGAAGTTCAGTACCTGCTTTCTCAGATGGCCATCACAAGCTGGTCAAATATTTGCTTTCTAAATGATGTGGATGTTGTATGTTACATTACTTAGAAACGTGATAGAAATAAATAAATATCTAGGTCTAAGATGGTCAAAATCATTTTGCTTAATTTTGGTGCTTTGAGCGGTT